ATCAGAGAGAGCATCTAAGTTTATTCCCGTTTTGTTTAGACTGTTTTAATTTTTTTTGTGGTCATCTCATTTCCAACCAAAAAAAAATCCCAGTAAGTAGTAACATACTACATCCGGTCTTAAATATAAAAACTAGTTAACTAATTTGAATAGATTAAGTAAATAAATTAAGTTAGTTGTTTATAATAAATATGTATTGTCTTTCCTAAAATATCCTTGCTAATCAAATATTTTGGCTAGAACTACTATTATTAGAAATATTATCTCAAGAAAAAATACATAAATATAAGAGATAAAGTGGATTGATATTTTATATTTATGCCAAAATAAAAATCGAATAAGGCTTTATATTAAAAACTGAGAGTAGTATTTTTTTAACATAATAAAAGAGATCCAATTGGGGAAAAAAAACATTTGTACTCCTCCGATCCTAACTATAAGACCCATTTTGTAGTGTAAATTAACTACAAAATAAGTCTTATATTTAATTGGAGGAGTATTAAGAATCTGCTTACCAATTGCCATCCAAACATTTCGTTTCCAACTTGCCAACATGGACCTCCCTCACTTCGTCGTGTGTCTTTCCTCTAATGGACCTGACTAATTCCAGGAAACCCTATGGCCTCTTTAATTATGCTTTAAAGAAGTTGGATTTTGGAAAGTTCAGCTCTTTCATTAATTATTTTTTTGGCCAAAAAAAATTAACTCGTATGACCCTTAAGCCATCTAGGATAGGTGTATAGAACTACGGAGCATTAATTCGCTCCTAATAATTTTTTAACTCCAAAAAAGTTAGAAATTAATGTGTCAAATTTATCGCATGTCTTGTTTGAAAATATGAAACGTGACATTGAAAACACTAGAGGTAGTGTGTGCGTCTATATACATATAAATATACATATATATATTTATATTTATATAGGACCAGCACTTTCAAAGTAATTGAAATATTAATGAACGTTGTATATAAAAAAAAGAAATATTAATGAACGTACTAAACGTAGAATATTTGACTTGACCGTTACATGGAAAGAAAATGAAATATACATACATACATACATACATATATATATATATATGTATATTGTAAAAGCTACTACTTCTGATTTTAACATAAAAACTCATTTAACTTTTATTTTAATCCTAAATATAAAATCTTAATTTACTTTTTTTATATTTATCAATTTTTTTAAAATAGTTTTTATAATAATAGTAATTCTAGTCAAAATACACTTAATTAATAAAGATGTTTTAAAAAAGACAATACTTATTTATTACAAATAACTAACTTAACTAATTTTTGTAATCTACTCCCTCCGTTCCTTATTATAAGAGACATTTGATACTTATAGCATGTTCCTATATATAAGAGACACTTAAAATTGTCTCTACTTTTTTGTGTTGATTTCCTATTTTACCCATATTTATTTTGTCTCCAATTCACATTCTCTCTTCCTCTCACTTCTCTTTCTTTTTTAATAATTTAATTGTTCTCTCTCATGTTCTCTCTCCTTATTAATGAGGGTATTTTTGGAAAAAAATTAACTTTTTACATTGATTGTTTAACTAATTTTAACTGCTTTTTTGATCAACGTAATTCGGTTATTCGTCTCTTATAATAAGGAACGGAGGGAGTATTTAATTAGTCAACTAACTCTTATATTAACTACCAAAGATAGTAATTGGGGAGTTAATGTTGTTATTATATATAAGACCTATTTCGCATGTTCATCAATTTTTTTTTCAAATTAATGTTGTTGCTATTCTTCCAATAATAATCAAGTAGGAGAGGTAAGAAAAGAATTAAAGAAAATGCTTAAGGTGTTTTAGGAAAATATATATCATGTTAACCAATTTAACTAACATTATTAACCTATTTAAATTAGTTAATTAGATTTTACTCCTCCAGTCCTTAATATAGAACCCAATTCTTCTGTTGGTTTTGATCTTAAATATAAGACCCCTTTCTCATATTTATCAATTTTCTCTAAATTACCCCTATAGATACTTTCTCAACCATAATCAAGTAGAAAAGGGAGAGGGGATATTAAGAAAGATGAATCATGGTGTTTTAAGAAAAATGTGTTACTTTTCTTATAATTAACTAACTTACCTAATTTCCTTAATCTATTTAAATTAGTTAAATGAGTCTTATATTAAAGATCGGAGGAGTATATGAAAAAGTATATATGGGCGCGCGGGCACACCAATTATGCATGTGACTAGTCATAAACTATTCAATTATGTGTGTGTTAATTATCTTGGAAGGGAGCTTGTATTATCCTGAAGGATCCATTTCGAAATATAGATTACCCATTAATTCTCCACATCTAATTTCTAATTTTTAATCACCGTTTAACCTCTTTATTTTCAATTAATTTTCTCAAACTGTGCAACTTGGCTCTTCGCTAGGTTTTATTATCATCGTCATTATTACTTCGAATAATAATGGCTTTTACTGTCTCGCAAAGGTTAGGAAATATTCACTAAAATGGGTTAGGTAAATAAATAATACATAAACAATAACTTGTTTAAATAGAAGACGTGGGAGATCCGAAAAAAATTAATGGCCAAATTATACTTCCTTCTATATGTATATCTTAATTTTCAAAACATTTAACATAATTAATTAACGAAAAATCTTATCAGCAATTTTTAAACTAATTAAAAATACAACCTAATTATCATTTTTATTTATTTTACCTTACCTTCAAAATATTTTTACAAATTTTAATTTTGATATATGCATAATGAATCAAGTTTTTTCAGGATTGTGATTATTACTTTTAATATTTAAAAAATTATAAGTAAGATGAAATTAATCAATAAATAATGATATTATATAGTTAGTTCGATTTCTCTTTCATGGCTTGAAAAAGTACACGTAAACACTTTGTTGTTAAGTTAACTAGCGGTGCTAGAGAGAAAAGTATTGGTTATGTTCTGAAAATTCAAAATTCAAATAATAAAAAGAAATTAATAAAATTAAAGGGTCAAAGGGAACTCAATATAAATTTGAGGAACTTAAATTTGAATTTTCTCCAAAATTAGTAATCATTTTCATAAGTTCTATCTTGTAAATTCGGCTCATGTTACTAAGTTTACTCGTAGCCAGGCCGGGGCGAAGTTTTATTGGGAGAGAGTGAAGCTTCGTAATTAATAATACCATCAGGAGTGTTCACGTGAACATGTCAGGAATTAAATGCAGGAAAAATTATATGGTTTTTAAAATATTTACTCATTTATTTATACTGCCTGATATAATCTATGCTTTTTTTAATAATTAACATCCTGTCCAATGTCTTTTTTTTTTTTTTACTACTCCTCTGATCCTATTTATAGAGTAAAAAAAAAAAGTATTTTTTTATCATATTTATAAGATACTGAGAGAAATTTTTTGTATGAATGTACAACTTTACCTCACATTTATTATTATGTTGATTTTATTTATATGAGGTATAATATATATTAAATAGGAATAAAATTGAAAAGTCATTAAATTTGAAATAAAAATTAATGAAGTTTGAAATTTTTCTTGGTCTATGTAAAACATGTTAGAAGTGGTATATAAATAGGACCAGAAGATTATAAAGGAACTTACCTAACAATCTTGAGGTTAAACAGCAACCAAAGGAAGAAATTAAGGTGGTATATAATAATTCAATAAGTAACCTTAGGTAGGGAAAAGGAAAAGAAAAAGAAGAAAGAAGTTGCCAAAATACAACAAAAATTACACTTTAGGTCAAAGAAAACCACCAATCAAAAGTATTCACACGATGCAGACTAAATATTTACGAGATTGATTATGAATTATTTGGTAATTAACCGCGTTTAGTAATAAAATAAAATAAAATGACTAATGATCATCAGTCTAAACGGTTACTTAACTAGGTATGAAGAATTGAATAATTCCAATTTCAAAGTCAAAACATATTGTTGGAATTTCCAGGAGCCATCAAATAAAATTACCACACGCTTATAGAATTCCACACGTTAGACGCTAACTTGGGAGACCATATTATAACTGTGCACGAGTTGCATATGCATAAATTATTAATTAATTCATATTCCAGATACTTCAATTTGTTACCAACCCATGTTCGCTGGTACTCCCTCCGTTCCTTATTATAAGAGACATTTGATGCTTATAGCATGTTTCTAAATATAAGAGACACTTAAAAGTTGTCTCTACTTTTTTGTGTTGATTTCCTATTTTACCCATATTTATTGTCTCCAACTCACACTCTCTCTCCTTCTCACTTCTCTTTCTTTAAGAATTTACTATTGTTCTCTTTCATGCTCTCTCTCCTTATTAATGAGGGCATTTTTGGAAAAAAATTATACTTTTACACATTAATTGTTCTTAACTAATTTTAACTGTTTTTTTTATCAACGTAATTCGGTTATTCGTCTCTTATAATAAGGAACGGAGGGAGTATTAATTACGCTCACATGCTTTTTATTTTTCACTTTTTTCCTACTTCGACTTCTCTTCATCGTTATCATCACCATCACCACGACTGCTTCCACGAGTGGGATATTACAAAGCGTAAACCGCGAAATAACAACCACTCGATCCCCGGAACAAGGAAGACTCTCAAAGAACCGACCACATGGGATAATATCGCCCCCAAAAGAAACAACAGAAACATTGAGGGCACAGAGGGTACACCACGGGTGTGGTCAGAATTGCTGAACACCACCAATTACTGCTCGATGGCTTTTCTGGTGAGTGGGCCCCACCACGGTTGCTCCGATCAGTCCTGATTTTCGCGTACGCTGACTCAGCCACACTCCCTTCGTTCCAATCTTCCCTCCAACAAAAAAGCTTCCTATCTCTTCGCCCTTTTCCCTTACGTGGCTCGAATATTCTCCCCGCAATTACCAATCGTTATCCTCCACGTAACACCCTTTCCCACCTTCCTTAATCATTTTACTTTTCCGTGTTTCTATATATAAACCCTAATACCTTTCCTTCCCAATCCGATCCATCGCCGCTGCTCTTTAAACATGGAAGTTCCTGTAATCAACAGAATCAAGGATGTTCATGTGGGTTTAACCTCTCTGCAAAACCCGTCCTTTTCTTCTGGGGTACAATCTCTTTCCTTCGCTTACACTTTCTGTAAATGGAGTGCTTTAATTCTCGCTCTCGTCGCTACCTTTGGAAGTTTGATCAATAAGATTAACGTTCTAATCGTCACATTCCGTCGCCACAGTCCTCCTCTTCCTTCGATCCCTCTTCTCAATGGCGATGATTACTCCAGCTCCGACGAGGACGAGGAGGAGGAGGAAGAAACTAGCTCGTCGCTGTCTTCTCCGTCGTCGGAGTTTGGAGAAGAAGAGGACGATGAAACGACGACACCTTCTTCTTCTTTAATGAGTCCCTTCAATTGGCGCATGGCGGGGGATGAAGATTTCAGAGTTCGAGGCTCCGGTCACCGAATCGATGACCGATTGCAGAGCGGCAGTGTCAGGCTCCGACGACGTCGTAGCATCAGAGACATTTTCTCGCTGTCGGAAATCGTCAACAGCAAGAGCGTCGTCAAATTGTGGGACAGCATAGGGTTTGGGCTCAGTTTAGACTTCGAAGATGATGAAATCTCCGTGGGAAGTTTGTCCCGGCCGCCGCCGGCGGGGTCCAGTTCACCGTCACCTGTGGTCTTGTCCGCCGAGAAAAACGCGTCAGGTAAAACGGCCGTGAAGATTTGGGACAGTCGCCTCCGGCAAAGATTACCGGCGGTGATCGCCGAGTGGAAACCTAACCTAGGCAAGATCGTCGGGGTCGGTTTCGGCGAAGTCGAGAAGTTTTACGTAAGAGACGACGTACACGATGACGTTACCATGGGAGACCTCAGGAATGTCAGCTCGCCGTTACGAAATGTAACGGAATCTGATGCGGATACCTGGTGGGATACCGACGCCGTTATTGTTTCCGCTGAGAATTAGGGGGCCAAAAACAAAAAGGCTAGTAAAATTGTTGCTGTAATTCTGTAAAATTGCTTGTTTATCATTAACTTATGCTTAAATTTTTAGGGTAAGATGAAAAAATTATTTTATCTACAAATTTTAATGCATTAATGCCGATGCGTCCAATGTGCCATATGTTATTCCTTATATATATATATATATATAATATTTATATAATAATATGTGTTTATGTATATTTGCATGTATAGCTTGCTTATGCTTAAGCTGCAAACAGCAAACTATGGAGTTTCTCACGCATTACTAAATAGTCTTCTTTTTTTTGTCTGAGCACATTCCGCTGGTGTTGAAGTGTTACGAGTGAAAAGGAAGTTTAAATTTTAAAAAATAAAATAAAATAGAAATTGTAATGATAAATAAAAGTGGAACAATACATGAATTGCGTTTTGTTATAACTTTCCTTATAATCAACTTGTATGGCAAAAAGATCAAGTCGGAATTTTTATATGACTTGAATTTGATTTTTTTTAGTAATTAAAAAAATTCATATATTCCTTGTGTTGCAATTTTTATAATGATTAGAGGCCAAAAGCAGTTATTATAACAATATGAAATTGAGATGACAAAGTGTTTCAATATTGAGGACGAAAATTATGGTTGTGAATTCCAGTTGGGGAAAAAAAACCATAAATTAGAGATGAAGCGATTGGAGCAAAAGAGGGTGTCATAATGGATAGATTAAAAGATAAGGTTGGTGGATTGGATACGAACGATTCTTTGGCCACAGAAACTAATTAGAAAGAGTTGTTGCGGAGGCTATTTGAAGAAATGGTTGGTTTTAGAGGCAATACCTTTTTCCCCTTTCGATACCTTTGAAGAATTTGGCTTATCATTTAAGAAAAAAGTAGTTAAAGAAAGGGAAACTAGAAAGTATCCATCCTCTGTTTTCTTCAATATTTGTTGTATTTTATCTTAAAAACAACTCTTATTTATGCGAAAATCAATTCATTCTGTTGTGCCTATAAGAGAAATCTTGGGAAAATATTACTCAAATGTTTATGTTAATTGTGTGTTCGGTTGTCGGCCAAATAAACCGGGGACCATTTTTTTGCACATGCCTCCATACATAACCCGTTTTAATTTGGTGTGGTTTCTCTTCGTTCCACCAATATTTCTACCCAAAGCTTTCATGCATGGCTTTTAGGAACATTGTGCTAGCCCTCCCCCCCCCCCCCGGCGGCGGGCAATCCAACTATGGTAAAAGGAATTAGTATCATGTCACCAAGGAAAAAAAAACAAAGAAAGGGAATTATTATCACAATCTTCCTGTCCTTAATATAAGACCTACTTAACTAACTTAGATTAAATTAAGAAAGTTAGGTAAGTTAGTTAATTATAAAAATATGATATGTTTTTCCTAAAACACCGTAATTATCTTCTTTAATATCCTCATTTCTTCTCCTACTTGATTATGGTTGAGGGAATATAAATAGGGATAATTTAGGAAAAAAATTGATAAATGTGGTAAATAGATCTTATATTTAGGATCAAGATTAACTCAACAATTAGGTCTTATGTTAAGGATCGGAGAAGTATTACTAAACCTCATCAAGACTAAGTAACATGTGAATCCTCACATGGGTTTCATAACCACCTTAATCAAGTAATTAATGATCTGTTTGGTAGGAGATTTTTTTTAACTTTAGGCTTAAGATTAATCTCTGTCAGAAGTATTAAGATTAAAAACGTCCTAACAAGTGTACTTTCTAAAATTTAAACTTGTATTTTTCTTTTTACAATATGAAACCTCTTACCATATCAACCAACATCTTGTTGGTAGGAAAGAGAAAATTTTAATGGGCTCATTTTAAAAAATTTAAAAAAATGTTTAAAAAATTTTAATTAATTTTTATTACTCTTTTATCTAATATTTTATTAAAATTTTAAAACCCCACTTCTCATATATTTTAGATCAAATTTATAAAAAAATTTCTTCCCCCTCTTTTCTTCCATTTCTCTCGTACTAAACATACGCAAAAGTTTAGAATATCTTTTCAATACCTCATGAAAATTTGTAATTGGCAAGGTCTCTCGCACAATTACTCCTACCTCTAATTGACATCCACAACATCATATCCTCAAGTTTGCATGGGGTTGGACGATTTATATTTGAAAGGGTAAGATTTGAAAGCATAGCTCTTGTATTGTCACAATTTTCTTTGGTCACGATGAAGTCCAAATTTCCATGTGGTTGGAACCGCCATCAACCGGTCACAATTTTCTGTGGTGAGATTGAAAAAGGTCATTATAATTTATAGATGATATTTTTGCCCCCCTAAACCACGTTTTCCAACAAAACACAGTGCAGCGCAAGCTTTGGACTCGTTGAGATCTGGCTTGGGCCTTGGAGCTATTGGGTCGTTGAGATCTGGTTTGGGCCTTGGAGCTATTGGGTCAGATCCATCATAAAGTCGCCCTTAATATTTTTACTGGTCCAATAGCGTCCCCTCTAGATTGGGCAAAAAGTCTTCACCCATAAGAGAGTGCGCATTCAAGTTAGGATATGTTTGGATTAGCTGTCAAAAAAGTGACTTTTTTCTAATCTGACTCCCAAAAAATGAAACTATAATTCAGATAATGTAATGTAATTTATGTTTGGATTAACTTTTATAAAAAAGTTAGTTTGACAAATTAAAACATATTTGGACGATTAATGAAAAAGTGAATTTAGATATAAAATGACTAAAAAAGACATAAATTTTATTAAGTACTCCTTCAGTCCTTATTGTAGGACTTAATTAACTAATTTGAATATATCAAAGATGTTAGTTAAATTAGTTAATATGATATGCTTTTTCTAAAAGTTAAATTAGTTAATATGATATTTTTTTCCTAAAACATCCTAATTATGTTCCTTCATTCCCTTCCTCCCTCTTTGACTTGATTATTATTTAGAGAATATCAATAGAGTTAATTTGAAAAAAAATACTAAACATCTGAAATAGGTATTACATATAAGGCCAATATCAATTATCAAATTAGGTCATATATTACGAAGTGGAGGAGTAATACATATTTAATATAATATGTATATAATGTGACACTTATAAAAAAAATTGAAAATAAAATTACTACAAATAAAAAATTTAATTTACTATTAAAAAATTGAAAAATACTAAAATATTTGATTCTATATATTTAATGCGTATAAGAAAGTGTTGATATATATAATCAAATATAATAGTGCAAGAAGCAGCACTTTGTATTATATACCCTCTATACTAGCAAAGCTAACAAGAAAAAAAAGGTGGCACTTATTGTCCACATGTATGTGCTGATTCTGAGCCTAACATTCACTGCACTGTTCTTTTCCACCGTAAGAAACAAGACGCAAGAACTTCATTCTAGAAGCCCATTTGAACATAAAAATCATATTTTCAAAACGTTAAACCTAACACTATTTTTTTCTTAAAAAAATCAGCTTTTGTCAGTTGAGATGCACGTTTAGGCTTCCAAATCATTCAAAACACACCCTTACATTTCTCCAGTACTTCAAGCTCTTTTGGTGGTCTTTTTGTAGAACTCCAATCCTACCTCTCATTCTTAACATAACGACTAATTTTACGATTAGATTTAATTTGAAAAATATTCTTTTTTTTTAAAATAGCTTTATTGATTGTAAAATGCTTTCATTAGGTAGTGGTTTTAATGTACAAGATAGGTTAGAGGAGTCAACATACATTTATTACAAATAATTAAATTCAAGAATTATAATGAGATCCTAAGTAAAAAATGTAATTATTGAAAAGTCCCAATGACAACTGAATATTTGTCATTAGAACTTTTTAGTAATTATGTTTCTTACTTGGGATTTCATTGTAATTCTCTCTAATTAAATTGAATATTTTTCATAATTTTTCTAAATTAGTTGTCTAGTTTTTATATTAAGAATTAGAGGTAGTAAATTTTTTCTTTGTTTGATTATCACAGCATCAAAATTAGGAAACATAATCAACCAAAACTAGCTTCATTTGCTAAGGGTATACTCTCTCCTATCTGCAATATAAAAGTCACTTCTACAAGAATAGTTTGATTCAAGATATAAATCACCTGGAGAGTAATTAATACTTATTTGTCAATTTGTCTATAAAATTAATGTTTAAATATGACTTATTTAATTTTTTATTTTTTTGTCATCTCATTTAATACAAGTAAAGTTGGAAAAAATTTCAAATTTGATGACTAGTTGACTACCATTTCTTGATTTGGATTAATTAGTTAAACTAGTCCAATTTGATAAAATTATAACCCTTTTATTATTGTCATATGTAGTAATGAAATGGAATGCAGCTCAACTCTAGAATCACCAAAAGTTGGCTCTGGGTTAAGCTGTTGTGATCAAATTCTACCACATTTTCACTCATGCTTCTACATTAACACCCACTCTAGCCTCATTTCTCTACCTTCTAGAATATATGGTAATTTTTTTATTTAGTATAATTTATTAAACATATGCACGCACATAAACATATCTATATTGGGCTCAAATTTGAGATCTCATCTACAACTAACTATTGGCTAAGGAGGTGTTTGGATGAAACTAAACCATAGTTTGAAAAATAACTTATAGAGAATAGATTTTTTGAAGAATAAATTTTATGAAAAAGTGATTCTAAGAAGTGAGAGTGTTTGGATAATTGTTATCAAAAGCAGTTTTTATATATACAAATTACTAAAAAAGGCATAAGTTAATATGATAATTACATAAAAGAAAGATTTTATGATACATTTTAATTTGAAGGAATAAAATTGTTAATAATATATTTTTTACCAACACAATTAATAATACATAAGATAATATAATTAATGAATAATTAATATGTGTATATATATTTATAAGATATAAGATTAAATATGTTTATAAAAAATAATTAAGGGATGTTAAAGTCATATTATTATTGAGATCTACTCTGATAGGCACAATTATACTCTCTAATTTGAGCCAGAAGTAGAATAAATTCACTTTTCTTGAAACCATGGTTTTGGAAGCCAAAACTATGGTTTCGGATTATTTCTCCAAAATTGATGTTGTTTGGGTGATATCTCACCCAAACCATAGTTTTGCCTCCCAAACTATGATTTCGGGACACCCAAACAGGCCCTTAATGTGGTAATTGGAGTTTCATTCTACCATATTAGATAGATTAAATGAGAGTATATTTAACTTCAGTTTGAGGAAATATAACATTTGGCAAAAGTCTAGCATCATCAGTCGCAAATAATCTCTTGGTTGGAATATTTACTCATGCCAATGTGTCCTAAAAGGCCGTTAAAAATTTTTCATTTCTGATTATCCCTCTTATTGGACAAAATTGCCACTATAACCACCCAAAACTTTGTTGCCACCTGGCATTCCCACCGTCAACCTCTTCCTACGAAATTATCATCTCCGTCATTGCCTATGGCTAATATAAGCATTAGAGAAATTATAATGGGGTTGATCAAGCTGTTCCCCCCCCCCCCTTTTGGGTGAGGGAACATTAAGATTGATGGATTTTTGTTTTCTCAAGATTTTTAATTTTCTCTATTTCAATGTTATTAATATATTTATTAACCCAAGTAATTTTACCTACATTTTTTTTTAAAAATAGTTATTCGTTTCGTGTAAAAAGAATCGAGGGAATAATTGATAGGCAAATACTTCTATACATTAGAAATAAATATTTTAATTAAGAAATGGGGGTTAATTGTGAATAGTGAATCAACATCGTTCAATCCAACTCATGCTAAATACTTCCTTAAGTCTAGGCAAGCATAAGATATGTGAGGGCTTTTTTACCGAAATACGATAAACAGTAAAACATTTTACCGAAATGCTACACTTTTCAAATTATTTACCAATATGCTATAGTTAAAATCGTTCTTGGCAAGAACGATTTTCAAATTACACACAAGTCGTTCTTGGCGTGAACGATTTCAGAAATCGTTCTTGCCAAGAACGATTTCACTTTTAGATTTAAAATTTCAGAAATCGTTCTTCGTGTGAACGATTTCACTTTTAAATTTTTTTTAAAATCTAAAAGTGAAATCGTTCTTGGCGTGAACGATTTCTGAAATCGTTCACGCCAAGAACGATTTCACCCTTGCATGCAAAAATAAAAATCCCTGATGGTATCCGCAAGGCTACAACATACTCCTCTGGTCCTATTTATAGGACAGAGAGAGAAGGTATTTTTTGGTCCTATTCATAAAGCACTAAGAGAAATTTTTTATATGGATGTACAATTTTACCTCTCATTTATTATTGTGTTGACTTTATTTATATGAGGTATAATGTATATTAAATAGGGATAAAGTTGAAAATTCATTAAATTTTAAATGAGAGTTAATGAAGTTTAAGGTTTTTCTTGGTCTGTGTGAAACATGTTGGAAGTGCCTTATAAATAGGACCAGAGGAGTATATAGTAAATTTTACTTCATCTAACTTATATTTGATTAAAATTTGAAAACCCCAGTTTTTTTTTAATTTTTTTTTCAAATAGAGCTTGATGAAATTTTCTATCATTTCCTCTTCTTTTTATCTATCTCATACCAAACAGTACGTAACAAAAAAGGTTATGTTTTGATTGTAAATTTTTAATTGTAGCAATTAAGTTGTAAGACTAAATTATTATTATTATTATTTTGGTCATAGGCATAAAAGGGCCATGCCCAATACTTGATTTCTTGTCAAACCGAACAAATACCACACGACAGGATTTTTTACCAAAATACTACAAACTGTAAAATTATACATAATATGCTGCACTTTTAAAAGTATTTACTAATATATTACACTTAAAATAGGTCTTCAGGTGAATAATTTTTAAAGTCATTTATCTGGTGAACGACTTCTTCATAATCTGTCCTTGATGTGCATGAGGTGAATGAAAATCGTTCTTCTGGTGAACAACTTCAAAACTTCATCTGCTGTTGAATGACTTCTCCCCTTCTCTCCTGATTAAAATGATTAGTATAATGATTTATCAATCATTTGAATGACAAAATCATGACTATATAATGAGAGAAAAATGTTAAATGATGTTAAAACTAATTGTGAAATAAGTATAAGATTAAAAATAAAAAGTAATAAATAAAGTTTAAGTTTATAAAGAAAAAATTATCCACCTCACTGATAGTGACTTCCAGTACCACATCTTGGCCTTCTTCTCATACGTTGTGGGCGTTGTTGTTGTACGTCAATTTCTTGAGCTTCAAATGTCTCATTTGTTTGTGTAGTTGGCGTGTTCAAATCAAACCAGGGTGATTCATTTAAATGTATAGATTGTCGAGGAGTGACAAATGCTTCATTTGATGGTCCACCATGTTCAAAAGTAGAAGCATTGTATTCAGCTGAAAATAATGCAGGATTATCTAATAAAGTCATGAATGGTTGAAATTGAGAAGGATTGGCTGAGTTGGAAGGGGATGATGATGAGGGTGCCATGTAATGAGACTCAAGTTGTGTAGGATCGATAGAGATGAAGGGGGATGATGGTGACAGTGATATGTCAGAAGCCTGAGTAAAAATTGGAGGTTCCTGTTCCCTTGCATTTTCGTTTTCAATTATAGGTTGGGTAGACAAGTAACCACCTCGTCGCTTGCTTGGTCTATCACGAGGAATTTGTGGCCGAGGCAACTCAATTGTTGGTGGAGCAGGCTGAGGGTTTACATTAAAACGTTGTTCTCTAAGTGCAAGTAAAATGTTACGCTGGTCGTGAGCAACCCTATCTCGATAATCAACACAACTAGGGCATGTTGAACGAGAATTAATTGAAAGCCTGTATAGCTCCTCTGCTATGTCAGACTGAAAAAAAATAATAAGATATAAGATAATAAAACTTTTTGTGTAAAATAAAATAATATTAATGGTGAAAAAATAAAAAACTTACCGCACGACCTGTATCACTACTGATACGTTGAATCCATCGTCTTGTATGTCTCCAATACCATTGCATGTACTGAGATATTCGATCAAGTTCATCAAATGCTATAGGAGCATTAACAATTACATGTGGCCATCTATCCCATGCTTGAATGAAATCTGCGTATTTGTCAATCCAATTTGTAGTTGTTCTACCTCGTAATTGGATCGTGTGGTAATTTCTCAAATGAACAGGCATGGAAGGAATTGGTTGCTGACGACCAAATTGCCGTAGTACACGGTCAGGATGATGCCATTCTATAATATTAAAACATATTAAAGGAACTGAAGCACGCCAAATTTCAGGTGTTGTCAAGCAATACTCAGGAATCAATTGGCGCACATAAGGAGATTCATATGGCTGCCATATTATCTCATCATCGGTCATTTTATCCAGAAAGCTCCTATATCGGATTAAAGACGCAGCAAGTGGACGTGGGTTTTGTCTAACATTTTTCCATCTGTTATTACAAAAAAGTAATGTTAAAAATTATATAATTTTAATAATATAAGAGCATAACAAATAGTTAGTTAATAAATTTAACATACCTAAAACCCAAAGGAGGTAAGAGAGGGTAGATATCAGATTGTGGATCTGGATACCTAGGTTGTTGTGGTGCTAGCATAGGAAAACGATCCCATGCCCATAAATGAAGTAATGATAAGCATCCTCCAATCCCATCCTCAGTTGGGTTAGTAGCATTACACAATTCTCTGTATAGGTGAGCTAAAACTGCTGATCCCCAACTGTATTTTCCAGCTTCTTGAAGATCATAAAGTAGTGGAAGGTACATTAGATACACCTTGCTACCCGATCTATCTGGCATGAGATATCCACCAATCAACCGGAGGATATATGCACGAGTGAATTGTTGAACTTGTACATCATCCGCATTATCAGGTAGGTGATTAAAGTTCTCTTCCAACCAACTTATAAGTAGTCGCTGCCCACTTAGTCTATCTGCAGATGGTCTAATACCTAGAAAACATTCACATATGTCTTGCCAATTAAAGTCAGTTCGGCCAATAACTGCCATTCCTTCACATGGAAGGCCCAATTGTTTAGCTACATCCTCTAATGTTATGGTGCATTCTCCACGTGTAGTGTGAAATGTATGAGTCTCAGGACGCCACCTCTCAACCAGTGCTGAGACCAAACCTCGATCATAATCAAACTGTCCTACTCGAGCAGCACCATAAAATCCAGCTAATATAAGATATTCAATTATTTGATTAGGTGGGTTAATCATTTGATTAGCGTGCATGACTCGTCTAGTGTGTAGGACCCTGTTAACCTATAGTGGAAAAGGGAAAAAATATTATTATAGAAACATCAATGAAAAAATATATAAGAAATAGATTTTACTTACATTATCATTCCACACATGTTCGGAAATATGTTGGGTTTGCAAGTACAAAAGAGAGTTATCCTCTGGGCCAGGATTTATCACCTCTTCTGGAAGTTGTGCCATTTTAAAATGTCTCTGCATAAGGTAAAGGACAAATTCCAAATAATATAAAAGAAATCAAACTAATTATAATATAATCTTCATAAAACATAATGTTTTTATTACAAAAGTGAAATACATAATTTATTGTCGAGATGCTACACTTTGTGGACAAGTAGAACGGTTATGACCAACTTGTCGACATAATCCACACTTGTTAGGTTCATTGGGTGTGGTCCAATCCATCTCATTTCTTATGCGACTTGAGCGAGGACGTCCTTTATCTCTAATCATTGATGGGTTAGGTATTAGAAGAGGACAATCAATCTGCGGCCAGTACATCTCATCTCCCACTGGTTGGAACTCATTATTATAAACCATTTGCATAGTTTCCAACCGAAAAACAGGATCCACATATTGTAAATGGTCTATGCCTACTCGTGCACAAGCAGCAATGGCATGCATACATGGAAACTTTTCTGCTTGAAACTCTCCACAATCACATTTTCTGTCAATCAAATTCACCTTGCAACACCGACGAAATTGACGACATCGAACATTATATGGCTCCATAACCTCAAATGATGTTGCTATTCTGTTAAAATCTCGAACTACACAAGCAGATGCACTTTGTGTTGCTATATCTAACTTCTTTGTCATTGTCTCGGAAAATACCTTACCAACCATAATTTGAGCATGAACTTGTTGGGCACGTTTGACAAAATAATTATTGACTCTATACATGGTTGCCTTAACTAAACCTGTTATTGGTAGACTTCGAACACCTTTAAATACATTATTCATGCACTCTGCAAGATTGGTTGTCATATGTCCAAAACGAAGACCTTCAAGGTCATATGCACGTGACCATTTCTCTTTTGGGATGGCTTCGATCCATCTAGCTGCAGGAGTATGGTGCAATGCTATTTCTGCTAATTCTCTGTCAACAACATGACGTTCATAAGCATACCCTACATATTATTATTAGCACTTGTTAGAATGATTATAAAATCAAATAGTTATAAGATCATAAAAAGCACAAGGAATCTCACCGATATTTATAAACTTCTCTTTTAACCAATTTGTTCCATGTGCTTTGTGAAGATTTGAAGCCACGTGTCGTAGACAAAAAACATGATGTCCATGTGGTGGTTGCCATCCAACTTGGGGTTGAGCAACAGCAGCCAAAATTGAACGATGTCTATCTGAAATTAAGCAAATTCCTGTTCTATCTTTTACAACACATTGGCGTACAAGGTGTAAGAACCATGCCCAAGCAGATCTTGTTTCCCCTTCAACTATAGCAAATGCAAGTGGCACAACATTTCGATCGCCATCTTGTGATATTGCCATAAGCAATGTGCCCTTGTATTTTCCATATAAGAATGTTCCATCAACTTGTATAATGGGCTTTAAATACGGAAATGCATCTATGCATGGCTTGAATGTCCAAAAAACACGATGAAACATTTCAATCGGTTGACCGTTTGTATTGACTTGAGAGCATTGTTTGTTTGAAAAATATATGCATGACCCAGGCATGAAGTGTTGAACTGCAGCTAACCATCTTGGGAGCAAGGAATATGAGGTCTCCCAATTTCCAAAGGCAATCGCAATTGCTAATTGTTTTGCCTTCCATGCTTTCCTATATGACACAGTATAACCAAACATTGATTGCATCCTCTCAATAATTTGTGACACTTTCACATCTGGTTTGTCAGTTACCATTGCCACAATGCAGGATGATATAACATCTGCGTCCAACTTTGGATGGTCTTGAGTTAATGACGTGCTCAAGCATACGTGAGGCCCCCCATATTTTGTAATTTGCCAATAGTTCTTGCTTTCCTTTTTGCAAGCCCTCACTCTCCAATTGCAATTATCTCCATAGTTAACACAACGATATTCTTCATACTTTTTACAAGAATAATAGACCTTAAATGTATGATGAACACGAACAGAATATAGCTTGACTGCACGTCTTAAAACTTGGACATTGCTAAATATTTTCCCAACATTTAACTCTTCATTATCACTAACATGCAGAATATCTTCTAATTCACCAAATTCAGGAGTTGTAACTGACTCAACATGAATTTGTGACAAGGAAGCATTTGTAACCTGATTTTGCTCATTCATCTCGTCATATTCATTGTCATTGTCACCATTATCATCCCCATTACCAGCATTTAAATAAGAATCATATTCTTCCTCATCCTCTGATTCATCCATGATATCTTCTACGTGAGGAAGAGAACATGATGATATAATGTTCCCACCATCTATGGGGAGTTCAAATGGTTGGAAACTTTCCATGTCATCACTAAACATAGATTCTTGTTCCATCATGTTCACCCTATTGCTACTTGATGGGGGCATATTTTCGACATAATCACCTATGGGTTGTGACTCAATATGGTGATTATCTGGTAAATCACATATGTTAGCATACAACTCTGCACATGTTAATTGAGTTGAAAATCTTCTAGTCACTTGCCACATTTGTTTTATATCTGTATCATCTTCCAAATTGCATGCTTGGTATTGTGGTGGATTTATGCATGTAGGATACCTATATACTAAATTTGTCACGTTTTGATAGGGAGGAAGTCGCAACTTTCGTCCAATAACTTGCTTCAATTTGCCCAAGGTAATGTTTTCATCAACTTTGATAATTTTCACATTATCAGATTCAAATGTTACACCAGCTGGGCCATTAAAAATTCGTCCATTTGCGAATACACACACGAACTCCTTTCTATGATCCATTCTACTTCCTAATCATTTCATTATAATCATTAGTCAAGTAAGATTAAATTATACAAATAAATTAACTCCACTATACCATTGCTTTTTTGTAAAATCAATATTTATTATTAGCTCAGAATATCCTATATAACCAAACACATAATGAAATCCATATCTAAGGGGAAAAAATATATAATGAAAACTGCATAAATCCAAATTAAAAACTACTATAAAAGATGTGTTATTGCTATTATTGTCAAAATCTGTTAAAGTATAGTAAACAAACTTGATTACAAATTTAGTAATTTTCAGAACTTTTTAATCATTTTTTGTAAATTATTTATTTGAAATTAAAATAAATAAATAAGTTTAAGAAATAGATTTTTTTTCCTTTTGTTTCTTTTTGTATTTCTATAATTTTATTTACATCAAGTATTAATTAATATATTATTGCACTATATAAAATACATTAAACATATATTTTTTTAATATTAAAATTCTTTCTTGTAATATTATTTTAATAATAACATATCATGAAGATTTTTTTTCATTTTACACATATATATTATTTATACCTTATAATACCTATTTATTATTTCATTATTTTTGTAAAATTTAATTTAATAAATATTAATTTATTGCATGAAATTAAACATTTAATTGGACTAAAATCTTTTAGACCATTGGGTTGAAATGAAGGGTTCAAAAATAAAGATTTTTTCTCTAGTTTATCACATTCATTAAAAATTATTTACTTTAATTTCTTTTAAATTGTAAAAATATATTTCAAATTCCTAGTTTTTATTTATCATAGAATTTAAATGATATAAGTTTAAAAGATTTTATAAGTTATTTCAATTTATAATTCAAAACTTTTAAACACTTCTTTATTACAAAGATTTATAAACATACTTAGTTAAATATATATATTTATTATAAAAAATTAGTTAAAATTTTAATCAAATCTTTTATGTTTGCCTTAACTGATTGAAATTAATGTAACTATAAAAATATAATTTAAGACTTTATTAGAATCAGAAGTAAAATAGTAAATAAATTTTATTTTAATATAAATTTCAGTTAAAAATAATATTTTTAGAATCTTTTTAGAATACTTCTATTAATAGTGTTAACTAATTGGACTAGATGTATGCTTTTAAAATAGAGGAAAGATCTATGTAATTGATGCAAACTAGAAGAATAGTCAGAGTATTTTATTCTTGATTCAAAACACTCATATCATGACATGTCATCATCAATTAAAAAATACAACATAACAAATAGCATGGAAAAGGCAAAATGAAAAAAAGAAATTATGAGTGCTCTTCATTCATTTCAATTTTACTTACACCTTATTTTTACCTAAAAAATATATGAAAGCAATGGTTCATTAGAAGTGGGTAGAAGACTTTTTTTTTTTAATTTACCAACTAAATATATACCACATATTTGATATTTAGGGCGTATATATAATTATTTTTCAATTTTATCTTACCAAATTTAAACTTCTCGAGAAGTATACTTTCATAACAAAAAATAATAATCATATACCAAGAAAAAATGAAGCTTATATCAAAATCTTAACATCTTAAAACAATATAACAGATGATAGTTTTACCGTTAAAATAAGAGGCACCTAGCTTAGAAAGAGTACAAATATTCCAGATTGTTGAACCCACCACTCACTTCCTGAAAATTAGAACAATGAAATATTAACTCATCAAGGATAGTATGGATGAAAAATCAAATTGTATATCACAACTGTAAATTTTTTAAAAGAAAAAATAGAAGAGAAACAACATACCTACAGCAGCAGTAAAAGAGCTTGTCTTGTTTGGAAACAAGAGTGAAAAATTAATAGTACAGGAGAATAATGAAAATGAAACAACAAGTGAGAAGAAGAAGAAAAGAGAACTCGGCGAAGAAGAAGAAGAAGAAGTGAAGAGGTGTGAAGGAAGGAATTCACATATCATATATATAAAGCCATAGCTGTAGCCTCACGGGATTCTCGCATGCTATGTCAAAATGTTTACAGAGCACATATTGGTGGTCTTGCACGCATTATTGGTTGGTCTTGCACGCATTATTGGTTCATCTTGCACGCATTATTGGTGGAGATTCAGACGCATTATTGGTGGAGATTCAGACGCATAATTGGTAGAAGTTTTGCATGCATAATTGGTGGAAATTCAGACGCATAATTGGCAAAAATTCAGACGCATGATTTCGTATGGGGAAAGGAGAAAGTGAAAAAGTGAAATCGTTCTTGGGGTGAACGATTTCAGAAATCGTTCACCCAAGAACGATTTCACTTTTTCATTTAAAAAAAAATTAAAAAGTGAAATCGTTCACGCCAAGAACGATTTGTGTGTAATTTGAAAATCGTTCTTGCCAAGAACGATTTTAAGTATAGCATATTGGTAAATAGTTTGAAAAGTGTAGCATTTCGGTAAAATGTTTTACTGTTTATCGTATTTCGGTAAAAAAGCCGATATGTGAGAGTTAAAAAGACGATATGTGAGTTACTTTAAAGAATAATTAAAAAGAACATATTATATCGAACACTTGCATTAATTAGTAGGAGTTGTTTCAACTTAATCAAAAATCACAGTTTGACCTTTTGATTAGCCGGGATACCGAGTGCATATGTACAAAAAAAAAGAAAAGGACATATTATTATAAGTTTCAAATATTAAAAGAGATATGAGGCATTTAATAAATTTTGCTGTAGGCTTGTCTTAGTATTTATGCATTTTTTTAAAATTTATCCTTGCTTTATTTTTGCTACATTCTATCGTTGTATCCTCGAAACATTATTTTTCATCTTTTTTTCTTTTTTTTTTATAAGAATATGTTTTAAAAAATATGTTTTTATCTATTTATTAGTATTAATTAATTTTAACTGATGTTTTCGTAAATTAGTTATTCAGAATTTGTAATAAAGAAGGATGGGAGTACTATTGTGAACAGAAAAAACACGGGAATCAAGGAAGGTTGGGCCAGTAATATGTTGCGAGTGCAGAAGCATGCCCCCTGAAAATTAAGATTAATTAAATAATTAATTAATGGGTTAGAGTGACTGAGTCATAGGATCATGCGCAAACCAACCGCACGCGCACTCTCTGCTTCCACACCCATCATGCTCCCTCATCATGTCCCTTCCCACCATTCTCTCAATCCTCCCTCCCTTTCTCTCTTCTCCTTCTCGGATCTCCCAGTCCCATCCCTCCCTCTCTCTGTTTTATTGTTTTTTAAATCCGTTGTTCTTTCCTTGTCTTCCCCATCACATCTTCTTTCGTACCAGCGTGTTTTCCTCACACGCACATTTCATCGAGCACTTGGAATGCTCATAAATAACTCCCTCAGGCATTACCGCATAGCTGCTACCTTAGCTTGCACGACTGTCGATTCCTCGTTTGAAGCACCTCTGTCAGATTTCGTCAGCTTTATCTATTTTCCGGTGAGTTTAATTTCTTCTTTTTTGTTTCATCCCTACTCCAGCAGAGCTATCAATAATGTCTGAGATTGAAACGTTATTGGACCAGATCCAATATAATTCAATTCACCTGAAAGTTAAAAGCTCAGATTATTTTGATTTTTTCTTCTGTGTGAACCATCTACTACTACTTCCATGACTTGGACATTTCTAATATTGTGTTCTTCTAGAACTGTTAGTCTGTTGCCAGGCAAAATTCAACTATTTAAGCACTCCGGTGAGTCCTTAAATATATATATAGTGCGACACATAAAGCTGTTGATTCGTCATCTTCCTACTGATGACTGATGACCAGAGCACCATAAATGCATTAATTAAACGAACAGAATAAGACAAACTTATTCATCGTGGTAGCTAAACCCAAGGGACCTTATAAATGAAGCTCCACCTCTGATCCGTGTCAGCGGCCTATTCATTTTCTTGTAAGGTGTGCTGAATTAAATTAGTATTACATGTGCAGCAACCTATACTATAACCCCATTATTCTTAAAACCGGAGAACGGGTAATTATGAACACACAGGCACACTCATGCTTGCTAGTACTTGAGGCTTAGGACCAAATAACAAGGCAAACATGCTTGTTCAAGCCTTGTGTTTGGCATCCTACGAATAACTAGCAAGGAGTTCTTCAAAAAGAATTTTTGCCTGCTTAATTATATGCTCTCAAGAATTCTTTGACCCACCGTGAAATTTGAGATTTCTTATTAGTATACAGTCTTGAAGCAGGGGAAAACAAAACAATGGTGTTGAGACTCTGAGGTTTCTTTCAAGAAAGAGAAATGATTTTGATATTGAAGTGCGTGAGAAAATGAGGATGAGCTGGATGCGACAGGTATTAAGGGAGGGTGGGTCCATCCTAAGTGTGCCACCCTATTTTGTTTAGTTTCCTATATACTGAACAATTGACCACCAAAAAGTATAAAACTATTCACCAGACTTCAGAAAGGGAAACTGAAGAAGAAGAACAGCAAGAGAAAAGAGCATTTGCCCCCTTTTTTAATATGCAGGGGACCCCATTACACCCAGTCACAAAGGCATTAATATTGGATTCAGAGCAATATTCTGTTCTATTGAGTCTGAATGACCACTATTGCTTACGGCTTGGTCCCCACGCCTTCGCCTTTGTTCCTAAATAATGCCTGGCCGCCTACATCCCAGGAATTCTCTATGCATCTAACCTTGTATAGAGCCTATTATTCTTCACGCATCCTTTTATTTGTTTGGGAGCAACACCACATGACATTCGAAGCTGACTGCTTCAATTAGTCCTGATTTTAACTTATTTTAAATGATTTTGCCTAATATAAAATAAACATGTGAGATGAGTTTATTTCACAAAACACATATAAAGCTATACCATATCTTTGTTTTTGTGACCAAAGAAGAACCATGCTAGTATTATCAATTTATTTACCGTTATAGAAGGTGTTTGGATGGAAAACAAATTATAATTTTAAAAATATTTTTACAGTTTACGAAATAAATATGTGAAGAAGTTTATCTTGTTTTATAAAAAAATACTTTTTAGGAGTACTTTTAAGCATTATCAAACACTACTATAATTATAATGGGTATGGTCAATATTCTTTTTCTACCTGCACCAGCTTGTTGTTTAGAAAGGTGAGGACCTTAATAATAATGGCAAGATGAAAAGTTCATAGGATAGCTCCCTCAGACACCTCGGAAAACTACAAAAGAAGACTTGAATCATGGAAAGGGACAAAGCGGAAGAGAAGGTTGAGGGTGATGCAAAGTGATGGTACTTTGCAGTTTTCACTGTGTATGAATTGTTTGTTACCCTACAGAATATCATATCAATGCTTTCTGGAGTAAATTATAAACTTTTCTATAATTATATGTTTTGTTAAGGGCAATGTGAAGTTGAAATGAGGCTGCTGCAGTATTGCATGTTTGGGATTGTGTTTTAGATTGTAAAAGATAGCTTAATATCAAGTCATGGGATTTTATGAGTATTATTATAATTTTTCAAATTTATGTCTCATAATTCCTTTGAACTCGAGTCAATAAAATTCAGGTCAATTCATTGCTTCTAGTCACATGTATTTCAGTATAAATCCGCTGGGGTATCTAAATTAAACAGGTTATGTGCTTCACAAGTTATAAAAGGTAAGGTTGCTTCTATGGCCAATTATTCTATTTAATTCATTCTCGATGAAAAATTATATAGAAAGTGGTGTATTGGCATGCAAATCCAAGTCTGTGTGACAAGAGATTCTAACTCTTATAAAAAAGAAGAAAAAAAAGGGAAAATATTTGAAAGATTATGTACGAAACACAAAAAAATTAAGATATTTGGGAGGAAATCTAATTAAAAATGGATTGATCTAATAAGATGCTTATATTATAAGGTAATTGATTGATTAATCTATTTTCTAAATGTTGATATTATGCCTAAAAAAATGAATTGACTTGGCTAATCATCCCCTGGGAAAAGAGTTGGAGGAGGTAGAGCTTATTTATTATTTATCATTATTATTATTTTTGTTTGTGTTCATCATTCGGGGAAAAAAAACAGAAATAGAGCACCAATTTAATTTTTAATCTGATCAACCACACAAACAAACAAGACCAACAGTTAGGAATATATTTAGGATTATTTTAATCAGACAACCTGAATGTTTGTTATTAAATTATATTATTGTCTATAAAATACTGTAAGCCAATCATTTATAAACATGCACAGCACAGGAGGTCAAACCTGCTGCAAAACTTTAGAATGATTAAAGATAATGAGTTTGAGAAGTAAGAGGTGTTTGAATAGAAACTAAATAATAGTTTTAAAAGTGTTTTTACGATTTATAAAATAAATACTTATATAAAATATTTTATCTCGTTTTATAAAAAAAATACTTCTAAAATTATAATTTGAAAGTTGTCAAACACCCCTTTAATATAACTCTCAATTACATGTTGAAATATCCAAATTAATCACCTCCCAGAATTGCAAAAGTCCTAGAAATCATTTTGTAGGTGGTAAGATATATATACTCCCCATTAAAATGTTCAAAACCAAAAGGTCCCAACGTGTCAAAACCTATATGGAAACCCGCATTATTATTTTATTTATCAATGCAAACTTATATATAATTAATTTAATAACATTAAAGAGAAAGTTTTTATGAAAAAAAATTAAGTAGACTAATTCGATGAGAGGAACTGGGGGTGATCTTTATCTGCCATCATCCAAATCCAGAAAAGAGAGAGATGAACTTTGTAAAAGGCTAATTTTGTACCCATATGCAAATGCAATATTCATGCTTTTTTACAGAGAATTGGAATCCTGCAAAGTTTCCTACGTGATTTGCTCATCATTTTAAAATGCACATCCAAAATGCGAGTGAGAGAGGAAGAAAGAAAGAAAGATGGTGGGGGTAGAGAGAGAGAGAGAGAGAGAGACACCTATGAGAACAGAACATGAGGTTGGGGAACAACATTCACAACTTTACGGACCAAAATCTAATCCCGGACCCCTCCCAAAAGCGCACAAAAAAAAAAACTATAGCTATCAAAATTTTCTGGGCATTTTCTCTGCCATTTTCCTTTCTTTCAGTTTCTTTTCCCACTAGCAAAAAGCGCGCTCTCTGGGCTGGGTTTATCCCTTCCCTCGTTGTTCTCCCTCCTTCCGAGCAAGATTCAATTTCTATGCCTTTTTTTTTAATGCATTTGATAGATACAGAGAGAGAGAGAGAGAGAGAGAGGAATGGAACATAAAATTTGAATTGAAGTTTGCTGGATTTAGCTGGAAGGCCTACTCCTTCAAGAACCTCTTCACAATCTTCACGCTTGGTCCTGCCACCTGTCTCTCCCAAATATCCGACCACTTCTCGCCGCCGTTGTTGGAGCATCTCGACGGTGTCATCGCCGCTCGGAACGCCTCTGTGGCGTCCAGCCTCCGTAGGTCCCACCCGGCCCCTTTGAGCCGCAAGATCTTCCCTATTTGCCTTTTTGCTAGTCGACAGGTATTATCCTTTATGGCCCTCACTGCCTCCTCGTACGCAGCCTTCCGCATCCGATCCTCTTCTATTCTCAGCCCACCCGGTGGGGGATATCGCTTGAAATACCGGTCGAATTCGGGCACACCGATTGCCTTCCTCAACCCGACCCGGTGTTCCGAGTCATCTTCTAGGTCGCTCGCTTCTGGGTCGAAGAACTGAGCCAACTCGTCCACCATTCCCATGTCAAGCATGTCGTCGACTCGCTTCAACAAGTAATCTGATAACACGGAGAACGACACGTCCACCCAGAGGAAGCAGCAGTTGTACCGCAACTCGGACGAGATCGAACTCGGTGACGATCCATCATCGAACACATTTAACGCCGGGTCAAACTGGTCGACCACAAGAGCATGAATCAACGAATTGGATCCACCGATGACGATGGGAAGCTTCCTCATCAAACTGATATCGGAAATAATGGACCCGGCGACTGAGCGAAAATCCGACGGCGTGAACTCTCCGTTCGCAGGGTCGACATCTCCGAGGAGGTGGTGCGGGACGCCGTTCCGTTCACCCAAAGGAATCTTGTTGGTGGCGATGTCGAGTCCTCTGTAAACTTGCATTTTATCCGCGTTGATGATTTCCGAGCAGGCACAGCGGGTGGCGAGGTCGATGGACAGGCGTGACTTCCCGCAACCGGTGGCGCCCATTATTAAAACCACCTTGTCTTTCCGGCGACGTCGGTGATAGGCAGAGTCAGCATCCATTCGCGGCCAGCGAGGCCTGCGGGAAGAAGAAGAAGAAGAAGAAGGGCTTGCAGGGAAAAGGGCAAACGAAGAAGACTCCTGAAGTCTAACAGGAACAGAGCAATGGTGGGAGCGAGCTGCGGAGAAGGAAAGAAGCTTCATAGCAAGAAACGGAAAAATCTCGATGACGAGATGTGAGATAAGATATGTATATGAAGGTCCAGATGAAAATGATGTAGCCAGAGAGAAAAAGGAGACAGAAGAAGAGAGAAAGTTGAGAGAGAGAGAAAGAAGGAAGGCAGAAAGTGTGTGTATGTGGGTGGGTTGGCGTGGGTACAGGTAGCGTGTAAGCAGAGCAGTGAGTGGGTTTGTTTGTGGCATTCAGAAATTGGGATGTCGTCTGCTTGCTGGGAATGCCATTGCATATGACAATCAATACCGAACTGGGATTCAACAGAGAAGAGAGAAGAAAGAGAAAGTGGTTTCGCTTCGTCTTCTCTCTGCAAATTTGTTTCTCTCTGGTTTTTGCAGCAAGCTGGAGTGGAGGATTCCAGTTTCAGAAGCTCTATTGCAAGCCTATGTGAGCGGGGAGGCAGGCTTATTAGTTAGGCCCCCTAATTTTATTTTAGGACCTGGCTTCCACTGCCCTCCCCTACCCAGAACACTGCCGTTTTGGGTGCAAAATGAGGGGGGCTGATTGCCTTTTCTTTTAAAAAAAAAATTTATTATCATTATTTTGAATTTTTTTTAGTAGCATCAATGTCTTAAAATAATTTTTGATATACTCAGTATATTAAAATATCTTTCATGACCATCCAATGTCCTAAAATAATTTTATTTGTTACACCTAGTATTATAAAATATTTGTTTTTATGACATCCAATATCATAAAGTGGTTTTTACCTTAAAAGGGTTTTTGAAGCAGCAACAACATCCTAGATTTAGGGTGCTTGTTGCTACTAAGAAATATATTTAGGATACTCGATGTTACTTAAAAAAAAAATTTAGGGTGTTAAATATATCAAAAAAATTTTTAAATATTAAGTGTACCAAAAATTATTATAAAATACTAGATGCTACTGAAAAAAAAATATTTTAAGATACTGAGTTTAAAAAATTATTTTAGAATACAAGGTTCTTTTAAAAAATAATTTAATGTGTTAAGTATACTAAAAATTATTTTAGAATATTAGATACTATTAAAAAAATTTTAAAATGCAAAAAAAAAAAGCAAATACCCCCCTCATTTCACACCCAAATCGGCAGTGTTTTAGGCAGCGGATATAGAGGTGGGAATCAGGGCCGGCCTTTCAGGGCTGGCGGGCTTAAAAGGGCTGGCCCTCCAAGGCTGAAGTTTTAAAAATACCCCAATTTGCTAGGCCCAGCTCTTAAGCTACAGGGCTCAGGGCCGGCCCGCGGGCTTTTGGCCCGTTTGAGAAAAAATACTATTTTTTACATTTATTATAATTTTTATAAAAAATAAAAATAAACCAAAGAAATTATTAAAAAAAGACATAAATATGAATAAAATTAAGTCACAAATATAAAATATCATCATATATAAATATCCATCAACATTCAAAAACATCTAAAACATTCATTAACAAGATAACAATATCCAAAAGTTTTATTTATAGTGCAATAAATAAACACTATCATTAATCTTTTGAAACTTCATCATCATTATAATTAATTACTCTTCTTCATAAGTATGCTTTTCTTTCGTAACAAAAATATCAAGTTTTTCTTCTTTATAGGAATTTTACTTTTAAATTGTACAATCTAACTATTATTTTACTTTAATGTGAGAAACATTGTTGTTGAAACTCATGAATTTCTAATTCAAATTATAGAATCACAAGTTATATAAGTATAAAAATACTCTATTATTAAATATATATATATAGTTTAAAAATATCAACGCATATAATATAAATCAAATCATTATTAAAGTTCAAATTAACCCATTTTTTAAAAATTTAATTGGATAAATTATTGTCTAACACTAAATTTAATTTTAAAATGATAATAATAACTAAATATTTGAAATATTGTTAACAATATAAAAAATTAATAATATTAGAATTATTAAAAAAATTAAAAAAACAAAAAAATTATAAAATGGCTTAAAAGGGCCGACCCGCGGCTCTCCAGGGCTGGCCCTTTTAAGCTCTCGGCCATCCAGGGCTTATTTTCTATTTGAAGAGAAAAATATCAAGCCCGACCCTCATAATTTCAGGGCCTAAATGGGCCGGCCTGATGGGTTCGACCCGTTTTCCCGACTTTAAGCGGATGAAACTGATAGTAGAGAGAATCCAAATCCCTCATTTTAAAACCTTCAGAGGCAGGCATGCTCCTTTGTATGGGAAAATTCTAAAAAAAACAATAGTTAAATTTTAAGATTTTAAATTAAAATTAATATGAAAACATGTCATCATTTACTTTTCGAGAACATTTTCTTTACGAGTATAATAATCAATACTAATTTGAAATTTTAAAATTTAACGATTATTTTTTTTTTAGATTTTTCCTGTTTGGCACCCTTTTTCTCCTCTGAAAGAGAGATTAGTACAATGATATATAATTACCTTTATTTGCGTTATTAAACTAATCTTAGTTTTAGTTGTTAATATAATATCAGAGTCCCTAAACATATGTATAACCAAAAAGGCAAGGTTGAATACCTTCTAAATTAGCATTTCCTCCGCACGGTCGAATGTGTTCCTCTAGTATTTTGCTTCACCGGCTTGATATTCTGTACTCATAGAGGTCCTTCTAGGAATTAGATTTAATTCACTTTATAAACAAGCACGCAAGATGGGATAATATCTATCAAGCTAGCGGCTACAGGACCAAGTTATTACCTCATATATCTGAATCAACCCTTTCCATCAAGATTATACGTATTTTTTTTTTTAATGGAATTGAACTAAACGAGTCATATATAAACGTCCCATGTTTTTTTAAATGTGAACATATAACGCAGAAAGAGAATTTTTTAAAAAAAGGATTTTTTTTTTTTGTGAGATTAATGTGAATTCCTAAAACTGTGGCTTTTTACTGGGGGCAAATGCTAATAAAGGGTCAAAGGACATGATAGTGTTGAGCGGTCTCATTCCAAACCGAAAGGTAATAAAAACTCGTTTGATTTTTATTTTGATCATAAATATAAGATCTCAATCTACTTTATTTAAACTTTAAATGTTACCTCCGATCCTTAATATAAAAACTCATTTGATTTTTATTTTTGTTTTAAATATAAGACTCCAATATATTTTGTTTCTCATATTTATCATTTTTTAAGATAGTCCTTATAGTAATAGTAATTTTATCCAATATATTTGATTAGCAATAATATTTTAGAAAAAATAATATCTATTTATTACAAATAACTAACTTAACTAATTTTTTTAATCTATTCAAATTAATCAACTAGTTTTTATAAAGCTACTTTAATCTTTAGGTCGGCTAGAATTAGAAGGAAGAAGCAGCACAAGGACTTTGTCAGAGTCAATGAACAAAGGTTAGAAATGGTGAGAACAAGTGTGAAAAATGTGGAGCGAATTAGGGTGTGTTTGGTTCGAGGGGAGGGGAGCCCCTCCCCTCATTTGGTTAAAAATTTTGGAAGGGAGGGGAGCTAAAATGTCCCCTCCCCTCCCCTCCCCCATTTTGGCTCCCCTCCAAATTGGGGGTTTTTGGAAGGGAGCCAAATTTTTGGACCATTATGCCCTTATAGATTTTTTAATATTTCACTTCTACCCATAAAATATATTATTATAATATTTATTTCAAATAAAAAATATATTACCTAAGTAAAAAAATAAAAAATATATACATTATTATAATTAAAAATATATTATAAAAATTATTTATAAATAAAAAATTATTTAAATAAAAAATTATAATATTATAAAATTAATTGTTTTTTATAAATATATTATTTATTAAATATATTTTAAATCTGGAAAAAAGATAGCCTAAAGAGAATAAAATTTCATTTTTCTTAGAGCATATAAAATTTGTTAATTGATTATTTTAAATATATTATTATATTAATTATAATAAAAAATTACTGTACCAATTTTTTAATACACATATTAACATGATAAGAATGAATTTTTATTAAATTATATGATTTAAATTAAGATGTAAATTAATTTATATAATATATCAATAAAAAACATAAACTAATATGTAAGGATAAAATGGTAAATTGATTATTACTATCCCTCCCCTCCCCTCCTTGAACCAAACAAGGGATTATTAAATACCCTCCCCTCCCCTCTTTTTTAATCAAACCAAACAAGGTGAGGATGAAACCTCCCCTCCCCTCCCTACCCCTCCCTCCCTCCCTTCCCTCCCCTTCCTCAAACCAAACAGGCCCTTAAGGAGAGCAATAGAGGAGAGACAGAGAGAAATATAGGAACGACGAAAGCGTGGGAAGGTGTCCCAGAGAAGGGATAGGACCATCATGGGGCTGCCCCCGGATAGCAGGGTATGCGTGGTCCGCCCTTTTCATCATGCCACCCAAGCATGCAAGCTTAGAATCAAATTTCATCCATTGCTATCATATTCAACTCACACTAATCTTAGTAATCTAAGTGTCCAAAATATTTTATTTTAGTTTTTATTTGATAAATCTCTTTAATCACTCAAAAAATCTTATGCATAAGGCCTTTACAACATGTTTCATACAGGGAAAAAAAAAATCTTAAACTACATTAACTCTCTATTAAAATATAATAATTTTCTAACTTTATCCATATTTAATATATATATATAGCCGTTCACAAAAAATAAATATATACACTATAGCAAATAAATGACAAAATAATACATTCATGCTAAAATTTTAACGAAGTAACTTATAAATGTGATCAAGAAAAATCTTTTCTTTCTGCCTTATAAATAAGATAAGAGGAGTAATAATTCGCTACAACCCAATCAAAGTTCAACAACTGAGTTGCAATTAAGTGTAAACTATAAAAATTGAGTCATTAAAATTTAGAGATTAAATATAATTATAACCGAGTCAAAATTTTGAAGGAAAAAAATAATTTTTCCCCAAAAAAAAAAAAAAATTCTTGCTTTGCCTTGCGCCCTGTGACACTCCGGGGCATGCCACCCCCATGATCAATTGTTGTCAAAACTATTGTGTTGTA